AAAAATCAATCCCGAATACCGAACCAAATTAACATTACCGGTATTGGTACCGATTTTCGGTACTAGTACCGATATGGACGGTACCGAATCCTGAATTTCATAATTTCGAAGTACCAAGAATCGTCTCATATTTTTAAATTCCGTACCGGATCAGGATTTGGTAGAAACTGCTAATTCGTGTCATAGTTTACCTATAACGTATGTAATCGTAATCTCAAGTAAGGGTGTGTTTGGCTAAGCTTTTTTACTTCAAAAGTCCTTTTCAGAAAAAAGCCTTATTGACTTGTTACTTTTGTCAAAAGATGTTTTTAAAATGTGTTTGGAATAGCTTTTAGCTTTTTACCTTTTAAAAACCTAAAAGTTATCAAAAGAGAGCATTTTGTGACTTTTAAAAAGGGTATGTTTTCTTCTTACCGATTCCCAAACATCTTATTAAGGGGGTGTTTGGTATTGCTTTTCAAGGTGAAAAGTTTTTTTTAAAAGAACTTTTTGATTTTAACTTTTAAGGGAGTAAAAAGTCAAAAGTTAGTTTTAAAAAAGTGTTTGCCAAATATTTTTTGACTTTTAAAGGTAATTTACCTTGTAAGAAGGCAAAAGTGACAAAAAGTCATGATTTCTTGTCTTTTGAAAAACCACAAATACCTTCTTGTCAAAAAGTTATTTCCAAAAGTTCTTTTGCAAATACCCAAGGGAAAATGACTTAAAAAGGTAATGAAGTTTCAAAAATATACAAAAAATACCATTGTTCTTTTTTTAGTACACAAAATACATTTAAAATATATTTTTTATACACAAAATACCAATGAAATACACATGTGTTCAAATAAAACCTTGTGGGTAACCGGTTACCGCAGGTAATGGAAAAATGTCTTAAAAAGGTAATAAAATTTCAAAAATGTTCAAAATATACCATTATTGTTTTAGTATAAAAAATACCATTGAAATTTCCAAAATGTTCAAAAAAAACCATTGTTGTTTTTTCAAAGCACCTTTTGTTAACTTCGTTGTTTCCGGATTATATAGAACATAGTCATTGGAGATTAGTCACCGTCGTACCAATTCACACCAGTTGTGTACTATCTTTCATTCCATCACTCGATCAGTTTGTATCTAAATCCATATTTAGGAATTCTCATGACATAACGTCACACTCGTTTCTCCTTTGTGTCTCTCTTGTGCCGCAACACTAATGAACGACTAATCTTGATGTATAATATGTGCATCTATATAATATGTTTTAGGTTTGAGACATATAATGTGATCGGGAAGCAAGAATGTTTAACTAATGTTACTACCCACTTACTTCTCCTGTTACCATAAGAACGATCGAGTGAAAGAATGAAAGAGATTTGCAAAATTGTTGTGAACTGATATGACGGTTCGTGATCTTCGGTGATTGTGTTCTACATAATCCGACAACAACACAATTAACAAAAAGTGTGGTATGTTTTAAACATTTTGGAAACTTCATTACACTTTTAAGTCATTTTTCCATTTACCTGAAGTACCTGGTTACCACAATTTTTTAGTTGAACACATGTGTACTTCGTTGGTATTCTGTGTACGAATAGTAACATTAATGATATTTTTTGTACTAAAAAAACAACAATGATATTTTTTGAACATTTGGAAACCAGGTAACCTACAATAGCCGGTAAAATTGTATTTTGTGTACTAAAAAAACAATGATCTTTTTTGTACATTTTTAAAACTTCGTTACCTTTTAAAGTCATTTTCCCAATACCAAACATCTTTTAAAATTTTTGGCTATTTATAAAAACCAAAAATCACACTTTTTAAGCGATCCCAAACACCCCTAAACTTTTAACTTTTTCAAAAAGAAAAAGACAAAAATTCTTTTGAAAAGTAAAGCCAAACACTCTCTAAAAACTGGAACGCCACTTGACTATGCTTTCCTCTGCTCGCCGCCGGCCACACGAGAATTTAATCATCGCCGCTGGTTCTATACTTCACTCTATCCGGTCCTCTTTAATTCCAGGTACTCCTTTTCCCCCACATCCTAAAACCTTTCCTCCTTGTACTATTGTACTAGTACCCAGAAGATTTCCCTCTGATATTTAGGTGTCGTGACTCTAACTTGACAAAACCTTAGGAAAATTCTAGTTGTTTGTCTGTGCTTCGTATATTCATGGTTGCTTCTTATTTTTCCTTTCGGTTTCTCAGAAACCACAAACCCCTTTTGCGTTTTCGTGTTGATCGGTTTTCTTGCTATGCAAACACCAGCGCTAATTGTTTTCATTCACAACCCCAATTGAAACAGAACAAACCCATTAAGAAAATCGCCAGAAAGTTCAAGAAAACTATCAAACCAAACATCAAAAAAGAGAATGTAGTAAATCCAAGAGTGTACATGAAAGATACAATCAGAACCATATCAAACATACTTAGGTATTCGACTTGGGATTCTGCTCAAAAACAGTTGGAAACCCTTGGCATTAAATGGGATTCTTACACAATCAATCAAGTTCTCAAAACCCACCCTCCAATGGAAAAAGCTTGGCTGTTCTTCAATTGGGCATCTGGATTGAAAAATTTCAAGCATGATCAGTTTACGTACACTACTATGATGGATATATTTGGGGAAGCAAGGAGAATATCGTCAATGAGGTTTGTTTTCCAGCAAATGGAGGAGAAAGGGATTAAAATTGATGTGGTTACTTATACTTCGATGTTGCATTGGCTATCGAATGATGGGGATATTGATGGGTCTGTGAAGTTATGGGAAGAGATGAAAGAAAAGGGCTTTTATCCAACTGTTGTTTCTTACACTGCTTATATGAAGGTTCTTTTTCATCATGGTAGAGTCAAAGAGGCCACTAAAATTTACAGGGAGATGATTCAGTCTGGTTGCCCTCCAAATTGTTTTACTTACACCGTCTTAATGGAGCATCTTGCTGGTTGTGGTATGTGTTATTTAATCTATATGTTTGTATCATGATCTCATCATTTTTTTCTTTTTTTGTTTTTTGTAATCATATCCTCGTCTTACATCAATTATAGTACACTGAAATCAATTGCAGGAAAATTCAACGAGGTCTTAGATATCTTTATTAAGATGCAAGAAGCAGGAGTGCAACCCGATAAAGCTACATGCAACATTCTAGTTGAAAATTGTTGCAAAGCTGGTGAAACATCGGTTATGATGAAGATTCTTCTTTATATGAAAGAAAACTCACTTGTACTTCGCCAACCCGTGTATGCAAAAGCTCTTGAAACTTTAACAAGTGCAGGGAAAAGTGATGTTCTTCTCAAGGAATCAAATCGCCATTTATCAATTCAGCACACTAAAGTGGAACCTTTAGAAAGTACAATTTCAGACACAAGCTCCATAGATGAACACCTTGTGTTAAATCTTTTGACCAGAAAACACTTCGTTGGGGTTGACTTTTTACTAAAAGATATGATGGAGAAGACCGTTTCGTTGACTTCCGGGATTCTTTCATCGGTTATCGAAGCATACGTTGCTCATGATAGACCTCATGGTGCGGTTTTGGCCTATGAATTTGGTAAGAAAATGGGGATAAAATTTGAGAAAATTTTGTATCTTTCTTTGGTGGGTTTGTTTATTAGGACGAATTCTTTCCCGAAAATTGTGGATATTGTTGAAGAAATGGTTAAAAACGGAATCTTTCTTGGAATTAATCAAAGTGCCTTGTTGATATACAAGCTTGGGTGTGCTAAAAAGCATGTTTCGGCTTCAAAAGTGTTTGATTTGTTGCCTGATTATGAGAAGAACACGACAACTTACACTGCTTTAATGGCAGCTTACTTTGCTTCAAGAAACACATCTAAAGGACTCCAGACGTTTAAAAATATGAAGGAGGCAGGGATTCCAGTTGTTCTTGGAACTTATAATGTGTTGCTGGCTGGTCTTGAAAAAAGTGGTAGAGTTGTTGAGTTTGAGGTTTATAGAAAGGAGAAAAAACAGATGGAAAAATGTAGATTTTCTGAAAATCAAGAATCTATAGAAGAAATGACTTGTAACTTCTTGTTTGCTAGGGATTATGTATCTTGAAACTTGAATCTATTTTTAGTTAAAAGTTTTTTTTGGTTATCTTAAACATGTTGAGTCACTTTTATGAGCTCCACTACTACATGATTACATGTCGTTTTATGCATCCCTTGTGGCATGATTGGTTTAGGGGTGTTATCTTTCACATTTTTATCAAAGATTTGGATGATGGATGATGAAGGGGGATTAAGATCGATTGTATATGGGGATTACATATGTCTTTTAAAACTTTGTTCTTTAATAATTTTGGGTTGTAAGTATGGTTTAATGTTGCAGAATAACAACATACTTTTTTTCATTTGTCTTATCTTGAACATCAAACTTTCTTTTTTTACATTTTAAGTCATTATACTCATAAAAAACTCTTTTCCATTACCTGATTTCCGATGACTCAACATTTTTCCATGATTGTTATTTTTCACCAACTTATTTATACCTAACATTGATTGTTGGAACTTGTAACAATAAGTTTAAATGGGACAACTCGTTTCATAAAAAATAGGAAATTTTATCATTTTTTTTTAAACGGCAAATCTACTCTACTCCTAAACTACTTCTAATTCCACATATGTCTCCGATGAGACTTGAACCCTCAACCTCTATGAGGAAGGGCAACACCCGCTACCTGCTGGCTAGAAGCCCTTTGTAACACTTAATGCAACTTCGGGTGATATTTACATGTTAGCTATTTGTAATTTATAATAGAAATCTAAGACAAGAAAATAAGAAGGGAAACCAATACATGTGTGAAAATTTGAAGATTGTTTTTCTTACACATTATATCCTTTTAAATTCGTTTTGCTATATCTTGTTATTTAATTTTGATTATTCCAAAATATACATGATCCATTTCGAATTCTAATCCCAATCACCCCTAAAACATCCCATTAGAATTAAAAAAAAAAAAAAAAAAGTAAAATACAAAACATATGAAATGACTATATTAGCCCTAGATATAAAAAGGAACATTTGGTCTGTCGTTCCCTCCTACGTGATTGTAAACCTAGTCGCCAGCCAGCCAACGGCATTGACAGGGTGAGCAGAAGAAGGCATGGCAAAACCACAGAAAAATTCAAAACCCCATGGATCTTCAAAGCGACCAGGAAAACATGGCAGTAATAATCTCAAACCGAAGACCAAATCGTCAAAAAAAGTTAAAAAAACCAAGCCCAAAGCACCGACGCAGCCTCAGCCGCAGAAGTCGCAGCCACAGCCACCTCCGCCACCTGAATTGTTGACAACAGCTTCGCAGCAGCTGGATTTTTTCATCCAGCAGTATCAATCAGCAAATGGCATACAACTTTCGTCTCTCGAACTTGAATCATTTACAGGTATGCTTTCTGATATGTAGTTTCCAGTATATACTATTAATCTTTAGGGTTTAATTGTCGAACGTTTATTTTTACAACATTGTATGTTAAAATAACCTGTTTGCTTGTTGTGGCTATTACAAATCCACCCTCTCTTTGTATTCCCCCCCAAATTATTTCTTTCTTATTGCTTCTTATATGCACAATTGTAATAACTTTCTAACTGAAAACACATATTTCATTTATTTTCTCTTAATAACATGCTTGTTGGTTTTGATGATGCTGCAGATGCGTGTATTGTGAAACTATCTGAAAGTCTACCTCAGGATGTCAGTAATTTAAGTGAACATATGAAGGCTTCCTTTGGACCATCTTGGAAAGAAGTCTTATGTAAAAAAGAGCTCAAACATTCTGAACCTGGGAGTCCTGCACTACTTACAATTAGTTTATCTGCCTTAAGATCACTGGAACTACTCAGGTAATTAGTTCATGTCATAAAGTATATCTCCCTTTTGATACTCTCCATGTTTCTGTTGCACTAAAAGATATGATTCTTGTACTTTGTAAAAAGAAGTTTGATTAAGGCCCTATTTCTTTCTTTTTCTTCATCAAGTGCTCACTAGATAAATGATGTCCGACTCAGGAGTAAGTGTTGTATGAACAAATGTTGTTTTGGGGTTGAATGAACAATTTGAATCAGCCAATATGAGTAAATGACCAATCAGTTAAAAATTCTTCATATAAATAACGAATTAACGATATAGATTGTTAAATATTTGATATAAGTAATAATATAGATTCATAAATATTTGATATGAATAATAGATTGACTTGGCAAATTCTAAGTTTTGAATACTACCCTGATAAAATTATCAATACATTAAGTCAAGTTAATTAATAGGAATAATGGACTATATAAGACTATTGTGACATTTAGCAAATCAAAAAGAAACATCCATATATAGCTAATTTGGATTATGTTATTTCTGTATTAAGACCCTTGAGTCAGAAAGAAACAGCACTTGCTTATTGTTGCTACCTATTTGATGTTATGACTTATGTGATTTAAAACAATGTATAATTTGTTTAAATTGGTTAAAAATTGTATATTAATATTGTAATTATTTGAAAAGATCAAGTGTAAACATTCCAGAAGCATGACCAAAACTGTATCCAAAAATTTCTCAAGTTATCTAAGCATTTACACATTAATTATTTTTGTCACAAACCTTCAGGAGTTTGAAGCCTTTTACTAAAGATTGCCATGCTGCAAAACTTTTTGCAAAGCATTTGAAGATTGAAGAACAGGTAATATTGCTTTCTTCACACATGATTATTTTGTTTGTTTTGATATTTATCATGGGCTTCATACATTTGTTCTTTCTCGCCTCCAGGCTTCCTGTTTAAAGAATCATGTCAATGTTGGTTGTGGCACACCAAGCAGGTAGGCTCCACTACACATGATTATCAATCCATCTACTTAGGAATTGGAATTCTAGATTCCATTCCATCGTGTGTTTGGTTGTCAATATTACGTTGGAATGTGAAGAATTGATAATTGATTTGGGGGTTGGATGGAATGTGAAGATACGCATAAACAATACATTCATTAAAATCATAAATTTTTATAAGGTTTTTATTTCTTATATATTGATTAACAAATCAATGCATAATTTTTTTCAGGATCAAAAAGTTAATTGACATGGAAGCATTGGGTCTATCACGGCTATCAGTTGTTGTGCTTGATATGCAGACAGATGTCAAGGGATATTCTCTTTTTAGCATCCCCCAGATCAGGTTAAACTTGTCAACTACTTTAATTCAATGTTACTTATTTACTACTATTTATTGTTCTTTCTTACAAATTACAATTAAAATAAAAATGGGTGATATTTGAAGCTATAATGTTGAACAAGAAAAGCTCTTATTTTTTATATCATAAAAAGAAAAACAATCTAATAATTTTGATAGAGATACAAAGTTAGTATAATTGGTTAAAATGTTTAAAGTAATAAGAATTATTTTTGGAAGTATGGTGTTGTAATAAAAAAGAAATCGAAGTAGGATTCTTTAAAAAGCACATGAGTGAAAGTTTGTTGCTATTTCTTGCATTTAGCCCCATTTGGAGTAGATAATCATTTTAATCATGTGTACAATTTGCCAAGAAATCCTATTTGAATTCCATGGATTCTGAAGAATTGATGGAATTATATATTTGTTTTCAACAGGGATGAGTTTTGGGAATTGTACACAACACACTTTCACCAGAGACTCCTAGATGGCAGTCTCAGAATCTGTCTTTATGGTACCGTTGATGCTAACAACTTCAAAAAAAAGAAGGGAACAACAACAGAGATACCAATGAGTGAGAAATCGTCTTAATCTGGTAAGCTATATATGGTTGTTTCTTTTCATGTTAAGTCATAATTTTTTTTAAAAAAAATTGCCCTTATTTATTTATTTATTTATTTTCTTCCCGCTTCCAAGTATGCCATCGTTTTCTTAGATATTTTTTAAACATCATTTTTTAGTGGATTTTTAGAGGTGAGGATTGATGATCATGAATGTTACAAGGAATGCGAGGAAGAAATTATACAAAGAGGTTCGATGTAGATCAAAAGTCTTGAAAATAGAGGCCAAATCCGAAAACTAAAAAAGAAGTTGAAGGGCATTTCTATTAGGTTATGCAATTAGTTACCCTAATATATGGTTTGTAATGTGTCGTATTCACTACCAACCCTCGATTAAAATTGTGATAATTTTTTTATTCCATGGTATCCTATAAACACTAGTGGACTATTTCCTTATATTATTATTTTTTTCTTTTAGCTAAAATGGTCTACGTTTTGTTATCCATACAAATAATCAATTGTGTTATCCTTTACAAACGAAACCGGCTTAAAAGAAAACCAGATTTAGCTTGGGTAAAGAAGTTCTCCATTTGAATTGTGCTCGTTTTTATACACTTAAATTCCTATTGATACCATTTTTATTTTCATATATCATTTGTGTTGTTATAGATCCTGCATAGTTTTTTTCCAGAAATGTGTTGTTAAATTGAAACGAATAAAATCAATTCATCACTGGCTGATTTGGTTGAAGTTGAACCAAGAAAGGTTAAAATAGGAGGATGTTCAGTTGGACTTTTTTGTTTATTTGTATTAATTTATAAAAATAATTAGAACACCAAATAGTTTATATGTGACATTAAATATCAAAATATTTTATAAAACTTAATTTCTAAATATCATATTTAACATATTTAGCATTCGTAAACTTTAAAATAAAAATCATATTTGTTCTTTACAGATTTCCAATAAGTCAATTAGAGTCAATCATATTTGTTCTAGAAACTTGGTAACCCTGTTTCAGTCGTGGCTTAATATAATTGATAAATATATATGTACAAAAAACTTTACATCTTCTGTAATCCTTTAGCATCTACATGAATCCTCCTATTATGATGAATGACAGTAGGCCTGGTCATCTGTAATCGTCTAAATGATCCCCCACTGGACAACATTAAAACAACTTCTGACATGATTGGTCTTAGATTAGCAGGTGACTGAGTGCACAATAAAGCAATCTCTATCATATTCATCATATCCTCTTCTTCATACTCATTTGGATCTAATGCCTTATCAACCAGCTCAATATGCATCCCACTCTCATACAGCTCCCATGCCTGTTCCCCAAGTTATAATTATTGCAAACTCAAAACTTACAACTTATGATTGACTAGTCCAATATGTGCAAAAGCCATAACAAGTGCACATATGTAAAATATGATTTTTAATTAAAACTATTAATCAAGTGTGAGCTGGAAAGGAGTTAGGAAGTTTGTATATTTACATGTTCAAGGAGGTAATTATTTCCATGTGGATCTAAGTTGACAGCAGTCCCCCTCCGACCACTGATGATTTCAAGGGCCACAATGCCAAAGCTGTAAGTGTCAACTTTCTCTGATAACTGTCCGTGGGTTGCATACTCTGGTGCAGTATAGCCTCTATAATGCATTTTGTTATTTAATCTTAAAAAAATATCCAAATCTAGAAAAATTAAGAATGGAGCTATATGTAATGAACAATACTTACAGTGTCCCAGCAAACAGGGTGCTAACGTGACTTTGATCCTCGGGTTGATCCCTAGCCAACCCGAAATCTGCAATTTTTGGTTGAAAATTATCATCAAGGAGAATGTTGTTTGACTTTATATCTCTATGAATGATTTTAACATGAATTTCTTCGTGTAGATGCACAAGACCCCTAGCAATTCCAACCATAATGTCAAAGCGTTGTCTCCAATTCAGAGTTCCTCTCTTTTCACCTGTCCATGGATAATTTGTAATTAAGAATATTTCAAGACGAGTTCTTGTAATGTGATTTTAAAATCTTACCCCATAAGAATTTGTCAAGGCTGCCTTGTGGCATGTATTCTAGGACAAGAAGTACTTGGGGTCCATCACTAGACCATCCAAGTAATTGCATAAGATTTCGGTGACGTATGTTGCTTATAAGCTTAACTTCATTGTTGAATTCCAATTTTGATTTACCATACCCATCATGGAGCTTCTTCACTGCCACTACATTCTCATTGTCTAGAACAGCCTGTTAATGGATAAACTCTTATTTATTATTATTATTATTTTTTAAGATAGAATTCAGGGTCTAACTATATTTGACAATAAAATATAAAAGCATTTATTTAAATGACTACCTTGAATACTTCACCGTATCCTCCTTTTCCTATTTTATATTCTTCCTTGAAATTATGAGTTGCCGACCGCAAATCTGTATATTTGTAAGCTTTTACCCTTTCCAACTCATGCTTACCTAAGGTGTATCAGATAATAAACATACATACAATACATGACATGGAAAAAGAAATTAATGTAACTTTTTAAATATCACATGTATTATCACCTTCATCAATTTTTGGCTTCTTCCGTAGTTTATACCACAAGGACGAAGCAATGATAAGCAAAATGATACCTACACCAACACTTGCTCCAATTATCATACCTAATTTTCTTGAACTCCCTGTCACAAAAAAAAAGGAACTTTTTACATAAATTTTTTGGAAAAGCTATATATAGAATAATATATGTAATTTTGCTTTAATGATCAGCTAAGCTTTTCCAAGTAGTGGGAGTTCCTTTTGGATAACTTTAAGATCTATCAAAAGGTTTCTCTATATATCAATATACAAAAAAATATAACATTTGACTTATCATATAGTTCGGTAAAAGTTTTTCATTAATATTCTGTAGTGGTTGCTAACGAGGAAATATACAAATAAAGATAAAAAGTTTTTGCATATTTTGGATTGGGGGGAGAAAGATAAGAGGAAGAAAGAGAAAAAGAGGCCTAACCTTTACTTAGGAAATGTACGATGTTGGTTGTCTGGTTATCTTGAAAAAATGGAGTCTGAGAATACCTCAGAAAGCACCCAAAGTCAAGCGTCCTTCCTTCTTTACTTGGTGGACAACTGTTGAGATTGTTATATGATATATTCATGCATTGTTCGCAAATGGGCTGAGTCACGCTTTCAACACACTGTGCAATTGCATATATTGTTGTATTGCCACTTGGGAGTCGCTTTGTGGATGCTACATAGAAATTTGAGGTTCTCGGAGTAGCAACCTGAATGTCTGACAACAGCTCTCCCACTATTTGGTTAAAAATTGTTGTCTGAGATGCTAATTGATTGCCACATATCAGGGTTGGAGCTATCTTAACATCCATCTTTGCTTGGGGATCTTCGTAAAATTCAGGATAGTTTTCGAACCTTAACCGAAAAGATGCATGCATTTTAGTATGAACATGCACACATATTCCATATCAATCAAGGTAACTCAAAATGATAAAATCCAAATTTGGCTTCAACTTGATATAAGATTGAAATACATCTTGAGGTCAATATCATTGCAGATTGTGTATATCACAAGTTAGTGAGAGTAAATGTATCTTCATGGCATTATAGGTTGATGATATATTATAGGTATTCTTATTTTTAGAGATAGCTTTCAAGGTTTACTTGGGTTGTCTAAAAAGAACTTTTATATCAATAAATCTTTGAGTTGATTAAGAATTAACCTTTGTACAACCACATGCGATACTCCATAGCCGCAAGAGATAAATTTAGTCTCAAAAGGTGCTCTAAGAATGATTTTAAAATAAATAAAATGAAAATGATTCCCTATCTTTTATAGTGGGAGTTTTAGGCTAGTGGTGGAGCTTCGATCTTTCATTTGGGGCCGAAAATATAATTTGTATAAAATTGGTAAATAAGGGGGGTCATGGTCAAAATTTTATATTTTTAGGTCTAATATATATAAAATTAAAATGTAGAGACTACTTCTGTCAAAAAAATCAGGGGGGGGGGTCATAACCCCCCTAGCCCTATATAAGATCCGCCCTTGTTAGGCGGATACTTGATTAATTCACTTGAAGACAACAAATAACACATGCATTGTTTATAGAGAAAAAAGATGCGCCAAGGTATCATTAACATCAAGCTTATAGTTAAAGAAAGAGTTCATGATAAACATATTTTCATAGAACATGTAGATGCGCCAAGGTATCATTAAAAGATGCGCTCAACCCCTAAAGTTTATCATGATACACTTGTCATATGGGCAATATTTATGATGTTACACTGGTTTAGTAGGACCATTGTGTATCATTCATTTTACATGTTTGATGTTGAACTTTTTACTTTTTGTACGAGAAAGTTGATAACTTTTGATTCTATTTCTAAATTCACTTATTATGTTCTATGAGTAATGTGTATACTGTATAAAGACTGAATTTTTTTTACAATCAAGGTGGCTTAGTAAAGATTACTTAAATATTATTCGAATCAAACAAGTTCCAATCTTATGTTGGCTTAAAGAACACTATATAAGCTATGAATTTACTTCATTTGAGAATTAAAGTCTGACAATCTAGATTATAATGGTTTAGTTAGGCTAAAAATCAAAATCGAGGAATTGAACTATGAAACCAAAACCAAAATCATAAGCGGGCTTCCGAAACGATAATCATGTTGGTGAATAGTTTTACTAATTGTATTTAAGTGTAATGGATTAACTCGTTGACCGAAATCAATCTTAATGAATATTAAACAAGTAAGGAAGGTGCGAAGTATACACGTGTTTAAGTTTATTCAAGATTCAAAATAGACAATCATTTATGGACGAAACCCTGAACGAACGGGGGTCCGGGGGCAACCCCCTTGGGAGCGGGGTCCAAGGGGCAGAGCCCTTGGCTAGGGTTGAGCTTGAAATTACATCAGAAATCTGAATTTTGGAAAATTGATCCGTTTTGACTTTCATGTTGACTCTTGTCTATTTGTGACAGTTTGAAATTGCTTTGTGACAGTTTAATGTTGGTTTTCAAACATAAAACAATTTGGTGACAATTTTCTATCTAAGAGAGATTAACCGAATTTTGGTCAAAATTCTAGGACTCGCCAAATTTCATAACATTCATCTTCTCTATTCTAGATTTCTCATTTTCCGAGTCTTATCTGATTGAAGATTAGGAAGTATCAACCAAATACTTCAATATGAAAGTGATTACTCGATTATCAGAATTCCTAGTCCTTTTAATCCCTGAGTTTCTAACAAATCAATCACTGGAGCACACTGATTTCAGAAACGATTTCTAGAACACGACTTCACAAACTTCATCGATTTATCGAAAACACGGATTTCATAAATCGATTTCAAACCTTAGGAACCGAACTCTAGTTAATTTTACTTACATGTTCACTTACATCATATGCATAAGTGCTCTCTAATGCAGTTACTTTTATTTTTTATAAATATATATTATTATTTTATAAACAAAAAAGTTTGACATTATTTTAGAATGTTATTTACTTTTATGTTGAATGTTGTAATTTGTTATTAAGATTATATTTATTTTGGACATCTAATAGACTCACATATCTGAATAACTTGTAACTTAAAATATATATAAGTAATATTTTTTAGGGAAAATGACAAATATGCCCTACGAACTTTCTAGGGTTTACCCGTTAAGTCCCTAAAGTTTTTGTTGGGCTTTATAGGTCCCTAAACTAGGATATGACATGTTCTTTTAGTCCCTGTCAACATATAATAGCCGGTTCAGTGACCTTTTAGACCAAAAAAACTCACATTGTGCCCCTATAAAGCAAAAATAATAAGTTCGATGACCTTTTAGACCAAAAAAACTCAATTCGTACCCTCCCAAAAATAGATCGTTACTCTTCTTTACGTCTTCACCCTCGATCGTCACACGTACTCACCGCATATCACAACCCCCTTCCCCTTCTAATTGATTCTCGATCACAACCCCCTTCCACTATTTTCTTTGATTCAATTTCAGCTCTTCAAGGAATTGACCCCCTCATTCCTTCTCTATTCAAAATCGCACAACTACCTCTCATTCTCCCTCCGAGTTGCAAGTTTGATGGATGCGATGTTGAGAAGGATGTGTGGGTTTGATGAGGTTCACGTAGAAAATGAGTTTTAATCTCTTTTTTCTTCGAATTGAGTGTGAATCTGTTTTAGAAGAAATGGAGAGTTTTTTTTGGTACGAATTGATCCTTGAACTTATTTTTTTTGGCTTTATATGGGCATAATGTGAGTTTTTTTTTTGTCTAAAAGGTCACTGAACCGGCTATTACAGGTTGATAAGGACTAAAATAGCAGGTCATATCATAGTTTAGGGATTCATAAAGCCCGAAAAAAACTTTAGGGACTCAACGGATAAACCCTAGAAAGTTCGTAGGGCATTTTTATCATTTTCCCTATTTTTTTAAACATAAGACCATCCTAGCATTAAAACGTGGGTCATCCGAACACGAATTAACTATATTTTAAAGTGCTTAATTTTCAAATGATTACCCTTAAGCTATTTTGCTGGTGGTAAAAAGAAATAAATATTGTTATCTGGGGTTATTGGTTATTTCGTATATTGTCATTTGTAGTAAGAAATTTGCTAATTTAGTGCTTTAGTTTCGTTGCCGGCCAAAGCTCCTAGCCGACGACCGGCTACCCCTTTCGAGCTCAACTGGCCCCTTCTTGCTACCTTGACCATCTTCCGAAGTTCTAAATAATCTACTGATCAAAGGCTGTAAGGGCGGGCTGCTCTACATTCAGCCACATCACAGTGACCCCCGAAGCGATCTTATTCTAGTTGCGGGACGAAATCCGACAACCAATTGCTGGCTCTGAATAACCAGCCCAGCAAAGAAGCTCAATTCTTCTATAACATAACGGGGCGGGGTTGCGCGCGAGCCGAGTGACGTACCTTTGATCCGTTGAGCGAGAGCCCTTCCACACGGGACTCCCGGATCACTATGGCCGACTTTCGTCTCTGTTCGACCAGTCGGTCTCACAGTCTTGTTAATTATTTTGCTCAAAATAGCTAAAAAAAAAACAAAGCAAAATAGCCATTAGAATATGGCTAGATCCCATCTATGATTTCGGCATTCCATCTACTATTTGGTGTGGTCAACTATTTGTCGAAGGTTATAAAAAGATTATTTTTTCAAAAACCATTCCACCATGTTCTATCTGTGATATGCTCTCATCCCATCTGCGATTTTACGTTGATCTTTTTTTTTAAATACTTAGGTTTAACTACAAATTTAGTAAGATTGACTATGAAATCTAATATTGTTGAATTCATACAAATGGATTGATTTTATATAAAAATTAGAAAAAAAAACTTAGATTATTATTTATTTCTTTAGAAATCTTGTTTAGTTTAAACAGAGAATTTGAGAGAACTTTTCTAGTTGGAAGATGAAAAAATGAAGATTTTCCAAAAAAAATGTATTTATACATGGGAGAGAAAAATCACAGATGAACTTGGTCAAAATCGCAGATGGACGAATGTACAAGTTTTTGATGCACATGCCGTGCATTAATGACTTGTATATTTGCAGATAAACTTCCGATTTCATAGATGATCCTAATTATTTGCGATTTTAATGATTATTTTGCGTAATTTGCTAATTTTTGGTTATTTTTTGTAGAATAATTAGTAAATTTGGCTATATTTATAAATTTCTCTTTATTTATTATACAAGTACTTATTTTTTTAATTAATAATATATAAAAAATTTATTTTATGTTTGTTGGAAGACATATATAATGATTATTTATCTTTATTAAGTAACATGCCAATTTTTTTTTTATAACAAAAGAGAGATATTTGTTATTCTGTATCTTGTTGTTTAAGTCTAAAAATCATTAAAAAAATTTAAACTTTCTAAAAGATCTGTTTAGGATAAAATCGTTAATGTTGTGAATATTCTTGATTCTAACTCCACCCAAGTTAGATTTTACGTCTAATCATACAAAAAAGTGTTAGCTTTGTATGAATCTAATCGTACAATTAATAATATATAATAAAGTAAAAATCTGTTTATATCTCGGAATAATGAATATATAATTTGTAAACTGAAATAAATTCTCACAATATACTTTACACTTCTTTAAATCATAATAATTATAAAATATAATAAAAATCAAATCAAATTAATATGTAACTATAAATGACATTATATAACTATAATAAACACACCAATTATATTTATTTGTATTTTAATATAACAATAATATAGATAAAAACTATATAAAATTTAATAATCGAAAATGGAATCAATTCCGATCAATTTATAATATAGTATTGATTTGAAAATAATGATTTATAAGAAAAACAACCGAAATGGAATCAGTTCCAATATATTAAAGGGGGGTCATCTACATATAATATATTCGTGTAAGTTTTTCAGCCAAGAAAATGCATAAACTCATGTAAGGTGAGTCTTGAATCCAAGACAAATGGTCAAGAACTAGATAACAAGTATACCTGCATATAGCTTTTAAAAAAATCCGAATATAGCCAAATATAGTTGTATATTTTCTTTTTGGCATACACCACAAGTTTCAACTTCAACGGAATAAAATCATATATAATAAACGATAAGGTGAAAACTCACCTGAGAAAGCAGTTGTCGAGAAAAACGTAAGCACCAGTAACAGAAGAGCAGGTTTTGATTGCAGATACTGCGGCATCAAAGCAAGCAACACACTGGGCTGCGGAAAGGTAGTTCCTACACTGGGCTAATCCATACACCAAGTCCAGGCTCCTCAGATCATGTGCTCGAGCAAAATATACATCTTTATTCCACAATTGGCTTCTGAGCTCAGTAATCGTAGAATCAAGGCTACTGAAAATACTTGATGAAGACGTCACAGGGTTAATACCGCAGGATAATCTAATGGGTGTGTTTGTAGTATTCGTACTGTTGTTGTTCGACTGTGAAGTTCCAAGATTAGACATGATTAAGAGGATCACAAGAACCACCAATTCTGTCATCGTCCGCAAGCTAGGGAACTGGCCACCTCCTTGTTCTAATTGATGAAAGTCGATCTATTGATCATAAATAATACAAAAGGAGAAGGAAAGTTTGACCAAAAGTCCTCCACAAAGCCTCACTATGGTCCAAACTCCAAACCCATTCAACCTTATAGAAGGTCCCACATAGAACGGTAGAAGAGAAAATTATTACAAAAAGAGAAAGGTTTGTTTGACTTAGACGGTTTGGTAATGATTAGACTCCAAGTCAAATTTTCAAGTCCCACCTATTAAAGAAACTTGAATTATTATTTTTATTTAGGGAAAATGCACAAAACTTTGAAGTCTATGTAGGAAAAAACCCTTATATTTTATTTTTGTTCAAATAAACCCTTAAGTTATGTATTACCATTTAAATAAATTCAAATAACAGGTTTCACCCCAATTTGACCGGATGATAATGTGACACGGCATATATTTACTTAAAATACAAATACATGGATATTATTGGGCTGAAATCGATTTTTCTTTTTAAGTCTTATGGAGGAGGAAGGATCGACTCAGACATAATCGGGTAAAGAAAGACAACAATCAACTTGGGGTTATTGGCAAACAATCGATCAAATGGAGTGAAATCACTTGTAGGGTTCGTTTTCTTCTATGGAGCCTAACAGCCCTACCATTCTGGTTCGACATTTCACAAAACCAGGTGACTTTTTTTTTTCTTTCTTTTCATTCAAGCCTTTGAGTAATGGAAGGCGATGTGTATAAGAAACAAAGAAAAACATGGACTGATGGACTGGATTTATTTGTACAATTTGGCTATGTGTATAAGAAACAAAAAAAAAACATGGACTGATGGACTGGATTTATTGGTACAATTTGGCTATGTGAAGACTGATATTCATGCTTTTTCAGTGGAGGCTTTGGTGATGTTCTCTACTCAGGTTTTGTTGGTAAATTGAGGTTGTTTTCAGGTATGGTTGGGTGGGATCGTTTGTACTTAAATAATTTCTTGGCATGTCTGACATGAGTTTTTATACTTTGGCATGGGGTGTGTTGGGCGTGTTTGGAATGAGTTTTATCTTTGGCATTTTTTGGTTAGTTTATACAATAGGATTGTTATGATAGTTTTGGTAATTCATTTCTTCATTGGGTTGTGTTTTTCTTTCGTGTTCAAAAGTAATAGTAGGTGTGTTTTATTTTCTTTTGGGGTTACATCAAATACTTTTTAGGCATGATGGTTCTTATTTAGATAGGTATTAGACATGCTTGTACTTTTATAGAGAAGCTGGTTCTCTTTGGTGTTTCTAGAGTTGAAACATTGGTTGTGATTCCAACAATTATGGATTCCTTGAGCAAAATACAGTTGCTGATATAAGAGATATGGGGTGCTGCCTGCGACTTACTTAACCTGCTTTCTGTTGTCATGGTCAATTTGTTAGATTTTGTCAGTTAAGCCCAAGGGCAATTTTGTCTTTTTTTATACAAAGTTTGCTAGAATGTTAGCTAGAAGAAATTTATTTATCTTTGCTTCGTTACCATGTATAAATGTAATCTGTGTGCTCATTTTTGACCTAATGAAGAATGATTTCATCGTTTTCTTCAAGTTTTTTTCATTTCGCTTTAATGGTGGAAGTTAACATAATTGTTGGCATGTTGTTCATGTATTTGTTCGAACTTTGTACTATCGTTCAACTTCATGCCGGCTTTAGTTTATTTATTTTATTATTTTCTTCATTCAAAAAAAATATGTATTGGTTTTTTGGTTTTTCTATTATTTTTAGGTAACTTCTTTATTTTTGTATACGTTTGACCATTTAACTTGTTATATGTATTCACATATAACAATTTAAATGGTTAAATGTATATACAAAAAAAAGAAAGTTGCCTAAATGTGAACAAGACGAATAGTTAATTACTCTCATAAGTCATTTTCCTCACTCTTAATTGCAGTTTTATTTTTCATATTTGTTTGTATTATTTTTTTCAAACGCTATTTTTAAAATATCTTCAATTTCCTAAATATTAATTAAATATTAATCAATTCTAAGCTTTACTTTTTAATTAATAAATATGTTTTTGTTTTGCGAAATATTTTATATAACCTTTTATAATTTTTTTGTTTTTATGCATATACAATATTTTTAAAGTAAATAGTATCTAGCCATAAAATTAAATAAATTAAATATGTACCAATAAGTATGGAGTCTTTTAAAAAAAATAAAAAGAAATCATTACTTAGCAAATAAAAAAATCTATATAATGTAAATGTTTTAAAATTATTACAACTTTTTAATACCTTTTAATTAGAAGTTTATAAACTTTTAACTTTTTTAATACAACGTTTTAAACTAGTATATTTAATGAAAATATTTTAAAATGTTATAAAAAAATATTAAATTGTCATACAAAATCTGTGAAACACTTTAAAAATGTTGTAAAAGAAAGTTTAGAAATGATTGCATGGAAGTTATACAAAAATTGTATGAAAATGTAAAAAAAAAAGTTAAAAACTTGTAAGAAAATTTTAAACATTTATAAAATATTTGGTTTAAAAGTACTTGTACTAAAAATATATGAAAGTATAAAAAAAAGTTTTTAAAAAAAATTACAAAGTTTAAAACATTGTATTAGAAAAACTTATAGTAAAAAAACATCATAAAAAATTATAAAAAGTCTTAAGAAATTTATAAAAACATATTATTCACATTTAGACAACTTTCTTTTTTTGTATACATGGTAATATTATTCACATTTAGACAACTTTCTTTAACTTTAGCTATAACAGGTTGCAATGGTAATATGTGAACATATTTAACAAGTTAAATAGTTAAATATATACAAAAAAATGAAGTTGCCTAAACGTGAATAAGACGAAAAGGTAATTACCCCCACAAATCATTTTCCCTATTACAAAATCTGAATTTAATAGTTGTTTCGGTTAAGAAAATGATTGTTAAAAAAATCTTATGACATGCATTTTGATACACTTCAAAAAAACACTTTTATGCATTTTTTACACTAAAAAAGTGCACTAGCACATAAAAACTGTATATTTCTGCACTTTAAAACAACATATTTTATCCCTTAAAAACTGCATTTTTATGCATTAGAAAACTACACTTAGATGCAACACATTCTAGAATCAAAAAAATGCACTTTTATTCACTTGAAAACTACACTTTTAGCACTTGATAACCACTCTTATGCACTTAAAAACTACACTTTTATGCACTTAAAAGCTATATTTTTTCCCTTCACTTATAAACTAAAAGTCAACAAAAAAATGTTGCATTAGAGTAATAAAAAAATGCAATTGTTCAGGTGCAAGTCATGCCAAAAAACATGAAAACAAAGCACATTGTTATTTTGTTGGGTAAAGTTAAAGTAACTTGTTATTTAGTTGGGTATAGTTAAAGTACATTGTTATTTAGTTGAGTGTAATTAAAGAACGTTTGTTATTTTGAAACAAAAAAATAACCAAGGAAACAAACTTTTACAAAAAAAAAAGAAAAAAAAAATCAAATACCTTCATAAGTAAAGTCATTACAACAATTCGTACTTGATAAGTTTATTTTATGAATGTATTAAATTGTATTAAATATGTTGAATTGATGTGTAATTACCCAAGAATGGGCACTACTTTGATGGAATGTTGAATATTATATGCAGGTCAATATATCGTACTAAAAGTGAGCGGAACCTGCAAGTAAAAACGAATTGCTAAAGGAATGAAGAAATGGTGTTGGGAAAGCTGACCACTCTTCAATGTTTTGGTCATATCTCGAGTTTTGGAGCTCCGATTGACATGAATGAAGATGTTTCAGAAACTAGAGAAGATTTCCTACAACTTTCATGTTTTGAGTTTCTGCTAATTCTGTCGTTTTGACCACCAAATCTTGCACGGAAGATGAAGGACGCCTCTAGGCGTCTAAGACGTCCCTTAGGACGTCCGAGTCAAACGGTCAACGTCTGGGCGAATTTCAGAGTAGGAAAAAAGGAAAGACCCCCGTCGGCGTCTTACAATGCGTCTAAGACGTCTTGGCATTTTAGGGGCGTCCCGTGTTGGGACGGTGTGTTTCGGAAAGCATTTGAATCAATGAAGAACGTCCTAGGACGCATCTAAGACGTCTAGCGTTTTTGGCTAATTTTTAGTGTATTTCAAGGACGTCAGAAGGCATGCAAAAATGTACAAAGAATGCCTTGGCGTTATACACGACGTCTAAGACGTCTCCTAGGACGTCTAACATCCCACATCGGCCGAATTCACTATTTTTTGCCAGATATTATAAATAGGGACCTAGGCATTCGTTTTTAGGGTTCCACCCCTCCGATTTTCAGAGCTTTTCCTTCGTTTTTGAGGCTTCTAAAACCCTTGGAAACATTTGGAAACACAAATCTATTCCATTTCAATCCGGATTCAAGGCAATATTCGATTCAATTCATTATCAATTAACATTTGAAGATCATTCAACTGCTGATTCTCATCAATTCTATGAATTTTCAGAAATGATTACTTCTTCCCCAAGGTTTATTTGTTTCGTATTTTGATAATCATTAGGCTCCAGTTGTTGGATGATTTCAAGTTTGTTTATGAATTTTATTATGCATTTTATTTATTTCATTCAAGTTAGTGTTTTTATAAATTCAATGGAAGGCTAAATTGTTAGGTTACTTCCGGGGATGTTTATGACTTTTGGATGAACACACTTGATTATTACTTGATTCTAGTTAATTTCAATTGTTATTTATGCCTCATGTGATGATCTTTGGTAATGATAATTGAAATTGGATTATATGAATTTGTTTGATGTCATAATTTAGATATTCTATTGTCAATTCATCATTTGTTCCAAGTCCAATTAGTTTAGGAACAAAAACAAGTGATTGAATCAACATATATTAATCCAAATTATGATATTGAATCTTAATGCGGTAATAGGTAGTTGTAAGACATTTTATTGCTAGTTTACTAATTGTTCATAATCCATTTAGACATAAGGAGTAAGACAACTAGTTGAATGAACATATCGTGTGCCCAAAG